GGCTCTGCCCGCGTGGGTTCGGATCCCATCCTCGTCGAGTCGCGTAACTTTTTTTGCTCTCCCAGTGATCGGTCTTCGACACTAGTCTGTAAGCTGCACGGATGGCCTGCAAGGTGGACGAGGTGGCCGAGAAGTTAAGGCGATGGACTGCTAATCCATTGGGCTCTGCCCGCGTGGTTTCGAATCCCATCCTCGTCGAGTCGCGTAACTTTTTTTCTTCTCCCAGTGATCGGTCTTCGACACTAGTGTGTAAGCTGCACGGATGGCCTGCAAGGCGAACGTCGGACGCAAGAATCATGTGCTCCATAGGAGCAGCGTTTGCGGCACATACTAGCCGCGGTAACAGGATGACCGAAGACCAAGACGCAGGATACGAGATTATTTTGCCACCACTGCCCAAGGTACGCGTCGCGCAAAACACTGTGTTTTTACACGGTGATGTGCGTGGCAGACCGTATCGAGTAGAAGATTTCCGAGACGCGCTCGGACCTACAGGACTACTGCCGGAGGTGTTGGCACTGGGAGCCTACCAGATTAATCATGTCTGGGCAGTCACCATGAACAACGCGGACGCTACGAGACGCTTGCTGGACGTGAAGGAGCTGAAAGTCAAGGGTCGACGCTGCATCATCGTAGACCCCCAGGATCAGCAGGTGCGGCTGCGTCTTCATTGGCTGCTGTATGGCGTCAACGATGAAGACGTGCGAACGGCGTTGGCGACTTATGGGAAGGTCGTACAAGTCACCAGGGAGAATTGGCATGTTCAAGGAGTCAGCGACGTGTGTAAGCTGCACGGATGGGGAGCAAGGCGGATGAGGTGGCCGAGAGGTTAAGACGATGGACTGCTAATCTATCTGGCTCTGCCCGCGTGGGTTCGAATTTCATCCTCGTCGAGTCGCGTAACTTTTTTTTCTTCTCCCAGTGATCTGTCTACGACACTAGTGTGTAAGCTGCACGAATGACCTGCAAGGCGGACGAGGTGGCCGAGAGGTCATTTTTTCGTCGGCTCTCACGCGCGTCGGACGCAAGAATCATGTGCTCCATAGGAGCAGCGTTTGCGGCACATACTAGCCGCGGTAACAGGATGACCGAAGACCAAGACGCAGGATACGAGATTATTTCGCGACCACTGCCCAAGGTACGCGTCGCGCAAAACACTGTGTTTTTACACGGTGATGTGCGTGGCAGACCGTATCGAGTAGAAGATTTCCGAGACGCGCTCGGACCTACAGGACTACTGCCGGAGGTGTTGGCACTGGGAGCCTACCAGATTAATCATGTCTGGGCAGTCACCATGAACAACGCGGACGCTACGAGACGCTTGCTGGGCGTGAAGGAGCTGAAAGTCAAGGGTCGACGCTGCATCATCGTAGACCCCCAGGATCAGCAGGTGCGGCTGCGTCTTCATTGGCTGCTGTATGGCGTCAACGATGAAGACGTGCGAACGGCGTTGGCGACTTATGGGAAGGTCGTACAAGTCACCAGGGAGAATTGGCATGTTCAAGGAGTCAGCGACAAGAGGTCAACCACACAAACTGTGCTTTTTAAGCTCAAGAGTGGTGTGAAGGTTGAAGATCTCCCGCATCAAATCAGGGTGGCTGGTGAACTGGCACTTGTGGTTGCACCTGGTCGGCCAATTCAGTGCCTGCGCTGCCAAGGTACCGGCCATGTTAGAAGATAGTGTAAGGTACCCCGATGCTCACGTTGTCGGCGGTTTGGCCACAGCGAAGACGCGTGCATGCGCACGTACGCATCGGCTATAGGATCAGCTGAAGATGAAGACACAGAAGAGTTGGTGATGGAAGTGACCAAGGCTGAAGACGCGGCGAAAGGCGCAGGCGACGTGGTGAACCCAGAAGCTTCAACAGGTACTGCCACACCGGCTGGTGGTGATGAACCAACAGTCCAAGCAGACATAGAATCAGGGGAGGTTACTCAAGAGCCAGCCGGACAAACCAATAAAAGGCTTCACAAGCACCCCATCGAAGGAGCCTGAGCCGGTGGAATTAACCAAACTTCCAGTGTCGTGCGAGAGTATCAGTGGTGGGGTGGCAAGCAAAAGACCCCGCGAGCAATCTGCAGGACGGCGTGAGGTGTCCAGTGAAAAGCATGAAGAGGGGCCACCTGCGAAGGCGACTTCGTTCAGACGCCGCAGTACAAGGCTGCGTTCCAACCCGATATTGGACAAACACTGGCCACCTTTGTCCTTCAGTGGCACGGGTCCACCTGGAGGCTCCGAAGATGTCTAGCGTCTATGCTAGACGCTGAAGGTAAGCATCATGCCCCGGGCTATCTTCTTCATTGTGTAGACATGGCTTTTGCACCGAAACTTAAAGTGGCAACGTTAAATGTTCTAGGTGTTGCCGCCAAGCGGAAACAGAGTCAAGTCTACAGGCTGCTCGTGGATCATGATCTCGATATACTAGCTGTACAAGAAACAAAAGTAGACGTTGAGGAGGAGACCCGGGGCATGGTGCTGAGGTTTACGGCGCGTTACTACGCAATTGTAACTCAAGCAATAGGCACTTCTGCAGGCTGTGTTTTGTTCATTAGGAAGTTACTGGGTCTGGTAGTGCAAGATACCTTCTCTTTCCCGTTTGGTAGATTGGTTTCCTGTAATTTTGTATTCAATGAATGTCAGTGGCGTATAGTGTGTATTTATGCACCAACCATTTGCGAAGAGCGATCACTTTTTTTTCAAGCCTAAAGCAGCACTTCACTTTGGAAAGGAAATATGTATTACTTGATGATTTTAACTGCGTCCTCAACGGGCGAGATCGAGCAAACGGACGCGAAATTTACGATAAAAGTAGTAGGACGCTAGCAGGCGTAGTTGCTGAATTCGAGTTAGAAGACGTTGCCAGCTGTATGGAGTTAACGTGGGATGTGCGTTTCCCACATTTTCAGGAGAATAGCAATGCGCGCCTTGATCGCATTTACGTGTCGCTTGAATTAATAGCCCACTGTAAGACATATGCTGTCTACCCAATACACTTCTGTGATCTTTGTTTAGTTAAATGTGATATGGGAGAGAAAACAAAAGGTGGAACTTTCTCATGGGAGCTGTGGAAGATGAATTCCACTTTGTTCACTGACGAATATTTCTTAGACCAGGTAATGAACTGTATCAATGAAATAAAAATTAATGATGAAGTTAAACTTGCAGAACAATGGGAAGAGTTCAAGCAGCGAATAAAAATAAAAGCTATTGATTGTTCTTGCGCATTGAGTTACAAAAGGAAAAAGAAAGAAAAAGAACTCGAAAGACTTTGGAAAGACTAACATACTTGGAGTGCAAACAACCGGGAGAGTATAAAATTGACATACGCAATATTAAGCAGAAACTTGATCTGTTGGACGAGGAACGCTACCGCGGTGCACTCGTCCGTGCTAGGGCTGAAGCTTTAGCGGCCGGAGAGACGCCAACCAAAAGAGCGTTGGGGGTGGAGAAAACGAACGCTCGACGGAATCGTATTGAAACAATAGAGAAGGATGATCACGAAGTAACCGATACGGACAGCATTTTATCCGTATTTTCTAGTAATTTTGAAAACCTTTTTGCGTGTAGACAGGTAAACCTGGAAAGATTTAAAGAAGAATATTTAGGACGCATGCCGCAAGTGAGTGAGGAAGTGAAAAATGCTTTGGAATTATCTATATCTGCATCTGAAGTTGAACGGGCGATTGATAAGTTAAATCCCGCGAAATCTCCAGGACCAAATAGTCTTTGTGCCAAGTGGTACAAATGTTTTAAAAGTGAATTGTCTTCAATACTTGCGGGCGTTTTTAATGAGGCATATCAGGAAAAGAAATCACCACTATCCTTTGGTGAATCGCGTACCGTTCTGATTCCGAAAACAGACGAGGTTGAAAAGCTCAGGCACGTCACAGCGTACAGGCCAATCGCACTGACAAACGTAGACTACAAAATATTAATGAAATTTTGGCGGCTAGACTTCAGTCAGTAATAACAGATATCGTCGGTCCACACCAAACTGTGGAATCAAAGGTCGGCCTAGCTACAAACATTCATAAATTGCGATCGGCGTGCTCGAATGTGTTGACACATCAGCTCGTGGGCCATACTCCACTAGATTTGGAAGAAAGCCGTTGATTGCGGTGCCCTAGGCCGTTTGTGTGCATATTGAAACACTATAATAAGGGTAAGTAGAATTATTGACGGAGTATGCCATGGCATATCGAATGGTAGTACGAGACTAAGTTAGCAACAAGACCTTGGGCCCCCCCAGTAGAATTGAGCGTTCAGTGCGTCAGGGTTGCCCTGTTGAGTCCTGTTGTTTTGGCATGATCAGGTCTTTGACACTAGTGTGTAAGCTGCACATGGTGGCCTGCAAGACGGACGAGGTGGCGATGAGGTTAAGGCGATGACTGCTATCCATTGGCTCTTCCCGCGTGGGGTTCGAAATCCCATCCTCGTCGAGTCGCGTAACTTTTTTGTTCTCCCAGTGATCTGTCTTCGTCACTAGTGTGTAAGCTGCACGAATGGCCTACAAGGCGGACGAGGTGGCCGAGAGGTTAAGGCGATGTACTGCTAATCCATTGGGCTCTGCCCGCGTGGGTTCGAATCCCATCCTCGTCGAGTCGCGTAACTTTTTTTTTGCTTCTCCCAGTGATCGGTCTTCGACACTAGTGTGTAAGCTGCACGGATGGGTGCAAGGCGGACGAGGTGGCCGAGAGGTTAAGGCTATGACTGCTAATTATTGGGCTCTGCCCGCGTGGGTTCGAATCCCATCCTCGTCGAGTCGCGTAACTTTTTTGTTCTCCCAGTGATCGGTCTTCGACACTAGTGTGTAAGCTGCACGAATGGCCTGCAAGGCGGACGAGGTGGCCGAGAGGTTAAGGCGATGGACTGCTAATCCATTGGGCTCTGCCCGCGTGGTTTCGAATCCCATCCTCGTCGAGTCGCGTAATTTTTTTTGTTCTCCCAGTGATCGGTCTTCGACACTAGTGTGTAAGCTGCACGGATGGCCTGCAAGGCGGACGAGGTGGCCGAGAGGTTAAGGCGATTGACTGCTAATTTATTGGGCTCGGCCCGCGTGGGTTCGAATCCCATCCTCGTCGGGGTTCGAATCCCATCCTCGTCGAGTCGAGTAACTTTTTTTTCTCCCAGTGATCGGTCTTCGACACTAGTGTGTAAGCTGCACGAATGGCCTGCAAGGCGGACGAGGTGGCCGAGAGGTTGGGCTCTGCCCGCGTGGGTTCGAATCCCATCCTCGTCGAGTCGCGTAACTTTTTTTGTTCTCCCAGTGATCGTCTTCGACACTAGTGTGTAAGCTGCACAGATGGCCTGCAAGGCGGACGAGGTGGCCGAGAGGTTAAGGCGATGGACTGCTAATCCATTGGGCTCTGCCCGCGTGGGTTCGAATCCCATCCTCGTCGAGTCGCGTAACTTTTTTTTCTTCTCCCAGTGATCGGTCTTCGACACTAGTGTGTAAGCTGCACGGATGGGGTGCAATGCGGACGAGGTGGCCGAGAGGTTAAGGATTGACTGCTAATTTATTGGGCTCTGCCCGCGTGGGTTCGAATCCCATCCTCGTCGAGTCGCGTAACTTTTTTTTGTTCTCCCAGTGATCGGTCTTCGACACTAGTGTGTAAGCTGCACGAATGGCCTGCAAGGCGGACGAGGTGGCCGAGAGGTTAAGGCGATGGACTGCTAATCATTGGGCTCTGCCCGCGTGGGTTCGAATCCCATCCTCGTCGAGTCGCGTAACTTTTTTTGTTCTCCCAGTGATCGGTCTTCGACACTAGTGTGTAAGCTGCACGAATGGCCTGCAAGGCGGACGAGGTGGCCGAGAAGGTTAAGGCGATGGACTGCTAATCCATTGGGCTCTGCCCAGCGTGGGTTCGAATCCATCCTCGTCGAGTCGCGTAACTTTATTTTTGTTCTCCCAGTGATCGGATCTTACGACACTAGTGTGTAAGCTGCATGGATGGCCGCAAGCGGACGAGGATGGCCGAGAGGTTAAGGCGATGGACCTGCTAATTCATTGGGCTCTGCCCGCGTGGTTCGAATCCCGTCCTCGTCGAGTCGCGTAACTTTTATTTGTTCTCCCAGTGATCGGTCTTCGACACTAGTGTGTAAGCTGCACGAATGGCCTGCAAGGCGGACGAGGTGGCCGAGAGGTTAAGGCGATGGACTGCTATTCATTGGGCTCTGCTCACGTGGGTTCGAATCCCATCCGCGCGAGTCGCGTAACTTTTTTTGTTCTCCCAGTGATCGTCTTCGACACTAGTGTGTAAGCTGCACGATGGCCTGCAAGGCGGACGAGGTGGCCGAGAGGTTAGGCGATGGACTGCTAATTCATTGGGCTCTGCCCGCGTGGGTTCGAATCCCATCCTCGTCGAGTCGCGTAACTTTTTTTGTTCTCCCAGTGATCTGTCTACGACACTAGTGTGTAAGCCGCACGAATGGCCTGCAAGGCGGACGAGGTGGCCGAGAGGTTAAGGCGATGGACTGCTAATCCATTGGGCTCTGCCCGCGTGGGTTCGAATTCCCATCCTCGTCGAGTCGCGTACTTTTTTTTCTCCCAGTGATCGGTCTTCGACACTAGTGTGTAAGCTGCACGATGGCTGCAATGCGGACGAGGTGGCCGAGAGGTTAAGGCGATTGACTGCTAATCTATTGGGCTCTGCCCGCGTGGGTTCGAATCCATCCTCGTCGAGTCGCGTAACTTTTTTTGTTCTCCCAGTGATCGTCTTCGACACTAGTGTGTAAGCTGCACGGATGGCCTGCAAGGGCGGACGAGGTGCCGAGAGGTTAAGGCGATGACTGCTAATTCATTGGGCTCGCCCGCGATGGGTTCGAATCCCATCCTCGTCGAGTCGCGTACTATTTTTTGTTCTCCCAGTGATCTGTCTTCGACACTAGTGTGTAAGCTGCACGAATGGCCTGCACGGCGGATCGAGGTGGCCGAGAGGTTAAGGCGATGACTGCTAATTCATTGGCTCTGCCCGCGTGGGTTCGAATCCCATCCTCGTCGAGTCGCGTAACTTTTTTTTGTTCTCCCAGTGATCAGGTCGTTCGACACTAGTGTGTAAGCTGCACGGATGAGCCTGCAAAGGCGGACGAGGTGGCGAGAGGTTAAGGGCGATGGACTGCTAATCTATTGAGGCTCTGCCCGCGTGGGTTCGAATCCCATCCTCGTCCGAGTCGCGTAACTTTTTTTGTTTCTCCAGTGATCGGTCTTCGACACTAGTGTGTAAGCTGCACGGATGGCCTGCAATGCGGACGAGGTGGCGAGAGGTTAAGCGATGGACTGCTAATTCATTGGGCTCTGCCCGCGTGGGTTCGAATTCCATCCTCGTCGAGTCGCGTAACTTTTTTTGGTTCTCCCAGTGATCGGTCTTCGACACTAGTGTGTAAGCTGCACGGATGGCCTGCAAGGCGGACGAGGTGGCCGAGAGGTTAAGGCGATGGACTGCTAATCCATTGGGCTCTGCCCGCGTGGGTTCGAATCCCATCCTCGTCGAGTCGCGTAACTTTTTTTTGTTCTCCCAGTGATCGGTCTTCGACACTAGTGTGTAAGCTGCACAGATGCCCTGCAAGGCGGACGAGGTGGCCGAGAGGTTAAGGCGATGGACTGCTAATCCATTGGGCTCTGCCCGCGTGGGTTCGAATCCCATCCTCGTCGAGTCGCGTAACTTTTTTTTGTTCTCCCAGTGATCGGTCTTCGACACTAGTGTGTAAGCTGCACGAATGGCCTGCAAGGCGGACGAGGTGGCCGAGAGGTTAAGGCGATGGACTGCTAATTCCATTGGGCTCTGCCCGCGTGGGTTCGAATCCCATCCTCGTCGAGTCGCGTAACTTTTTTTTGTTTCTCCCAGTGATCTGTCTACGACACTAGTGTGTAAGCTGCACGAATGGCCTGCAAGGCGGACGAGGTGGCCGAGAGGTTAAGGCGATGGACTGCTAATTCATTGGGCTCTGCCCGCGTGGGTTCGAATCCCATCCTCGTCGAGTCGCGTACCTTTTTTTGTTCTCCCAGTGATCGTCTTCGACACTAGTGTGTAAGCTGCACGAATGGCCTGCAAAGCGGACGAGGTGGCCGAGAGGTTAAGGCGATGGACTGCTAATCCATTGGGCTCTGCCCGCGTGGGTTCGAATCCCATCCTCGTCGAGTCGCGTAACTTTTTTGTTCTCCCAGTGATCGGTCTTCGACACTAGTGTGTAAGCTGCACGGATGGCCTGCAAGGCGGACGAGGTGGCCGAGAGCTTAAGGCGATGGACTGCTAATCCATTCGGCTCTGCCCCGTGGGTTCGAATTCCCATCCTCGTCGAGTCGCGTAACTTTTTTTGTTCTCCCAGTGATCGGTCTTCGACACTAGTGTGTAAGCTGCACGGATGGCCTGCAAGGCGGACGAGGAATGACGAGAGCTTAAGGCGATGGACTGCTAATTCATTGGGCTCTGCCCGCGTGGGTTCGAATCCCATCCTCGTCGAGTCGCGTAACTTTTTTTTGTTCTCCCAGTGATCGGTCTTCGACACTAGTGTGTAAGCTGCACGAATGGCCTGCAAGGCGGACGAGGTGGCCGAGAGGTTAAGGCGATGGACTGCTAATTCCATTGGGCTCTGCCCGCGTGGGTTCGAATCCCATCCTCGTCGAGTCGCGTAACTTTTTTTTGTTCTCCCAGTGATCGGTCTTCGACACTAGTGTGTAAGCTGCACAGATGGCCTGCAAGGCGGACGAGGTGGCCGAGAGGTTAAGGCGATGGACTGCTAATCCATTGGGCTCTGCCCGCGTGGGTTCGAATCCCATCCTCGTCGAGTCGCGTAACTTTTTTTGTTCTCCCAGTGATCGGTCTTCGACACTAGTGTGTAAGCTGCACGATGGCCTGCAAGGCGGACGAGGTGGCCGAGAGGTTAAGGCGATGGACTGCTAATCCATTGGGCTCTGCCCGCGTGGGTTCGAATCCCATCCTCGTCGAGTCGCGTAACTTTTTTTGTTCTCCCAGTGATCGGTCTTCGACACTATTATGTAAGCTGCATCGATGGCCTGCAAGGCGGACGAGGTGGCCGAGAGGTTAAGGCGATGGACTGCTAATCCATTGGGCTCTGCCCGCGTGGGTTCGAATCCCATCCTCGTCGAGTCGCGTAACTTTTTTGTTCTCCCAGTGATCGGTCTTCGACCTAGTGTGTAAGCTGCACGGCTGGGTGCAAGGCGGACGAGGTGGCCGAGAGGTTAAGGCGATGGACTGCTAATCCATTGGGCTCTGCCCGCGTGGGTTCGAATCCCATCCTCGTCGAGTCGCGTAACTTTTTTTGTTCTCCCAGTGATCGGTCTTCGACACTAGTGTGTAAGCTGCACGAATGGCCTGCAAGGCGGACGAGGTGGCCGAGAGGTTAAGGAGATTGACTGCTAATTTATTGGGCTCGGCCCGCGTGGGTTCGAATCCCATCCTCGTCGAGTCGCGTAACTTTTTTTGTTCTCCCAGTAATCAGTCTTCGACACTAGTGTGTAAGCTGCACGAATGGCCTGCAAGGCGGACGAGGTGGCCGAGAGGTTAAGCGATGGACTGCTAATCCATGGGCTCTGCCCGCGTGGGTTCAAATCCCATCCTCGTCGAGTCGCGTAACTTTTTTTTGTTCTCCCAGTAATCAGTCTTCGACACTAGTGTGTAAGCTGCACGGGTGGCCTGCAAGGCGGATGAGGTGGCCGACAGGTTAAGGCGATGGACTGCTAATCCATTGGGCTCTGCCCGCGTGGGTTCGAATCCCATCCTCGTCGAGTCGCGTAACTTTTTTTGTTCTCCCAGTGATCGGTCTTCGACACTAGTGTGTAAGCTGCACGAATGGCCTGCAAGGCGGACGAGGTGGCCGAGAAGGTTAAGGCGATGGACTGCTAATCCATTGGGCTCTGCCCGCGTGGGTTCGAATCCCATCCTCGTCGAGTCGCGTAACTTTTTTTGTTCTCCCAGTGATCGGTCTTCGACACTAGTGTGTAAGCTGCACGGAATGGCCTGCAAGGCGGACGAGGTGGCCGAGAGGTTAGGGCGATGGACTGCTATCCATTGGGCTCTGCCCGCGTGGGTTCGAATCCCATCCTCGTCGAGTCGCGTAACTTTTTTTGTTCTCCCAGTGATCGGTCTTCGACACTAGTGTGTAAGCTGCACGAATGGCCTGCAAGGCGGACGAGGTGGCCGAGAGGTTAAGGACGATGGACTGCTAATCATGGGGCTCTGCCCGCGTGGGTTCGAATCCCATCCCGTCGAGTCGCGTAACTTTTTTTTGTTCTCCCAGTGATCGTCTTCGACACTAGTGTGTAAGCTGCACGGAATGGGCCTGCAAGGCGGACGAGGTGGCCTGAGAGGTTAAGACGATGACTGCTAATCCATTGGGCTCTGCCCGCGTGGGTTCGAATCCCATCCTCGTCGAGTCGCGTAACTTTTTTTTTGTTCTCCCAGTGATCGGTCTTCGACACTAGTGTGTAAGCTGCACGGATGGCCTGCAAGGCGGACGAGGTGGCCGAGAGGTTAAGGCGATGGACTGCTAATCCATTGGGCTCTGCCCGCGTGGGTTCGAATCCCATCCTCGTCGAGTCGCGTAACTTTTTTTTCTCTCCCCGTGGATTGGTCTTCGACACTAGTGTGTAAGCTGCACGGGGTGGCCTGCAAGGCGGACGAGGTGGCCGAGAGGTTAAGGCGATGGACTGCTAATCATTGGGCTCTGCCCGCGTGGGTTCGAATCCCATCCTCGTCGAGTCGCGTAACTTTTTTGTTCTCCCAGCGTGATCTGTCTACGACACTAGTGTGTAAGCTGCACGAATGGCCTGCAAGGCGGACGAGGTGGCCGAGAGGTTAAGGCGATGACTGCTAATCCATTGGCTCTGCCCGCGTGGTTCGAATCCCATCCTCGTCGAGTCGCGTAACTTTTTTTTTTCTCCCAGTGATCGGTCTTCGACACTAGTGTGTAAGCTGCACGGATGGGGTGCAAGGCGGACGAGGTGGCCGAGAGGTTAAGGCGATGGACTGCTAATTCATTGGGCTCTGCCCGCGTGGGTTCGAATCCCATCCTCGTCGAGTCGCGTAACGCGATGGACTGCTAATCCATTGGGCTCTGCCCGCGTGGGTTCGAATCCCATCCTCGTCGAGTCGCGTAACTTTTTTTGTTCTCCAGTGATCGGTCTTCGACACTAGTGTGTAAGCTGCACGGATGGCCTGCAAGGCGGACGAGCTGGCCGAGAGGTTAAGACGATGGACTGCTAATCCATTGGGCTCTGCCCGCGTGGGTTCGAATCCCATCCTCGTCGAGTCGCGTAATTTTTTTTGTTCTCCCAGTGATCGGTCTTCGACACTAGTGTGTAAGCTGCACGAATGGCCTGCAAGGCGGACGAGGTGGCCGAGAGGTTAAGGCGATGGACTGCTAATTCATTGGGCTCTGCCCGCGTGGGTTCGAATCCCATCCTCGTCGAGTCGCGTAACTTTTTTTTGTTCTCCCAGTGATCGGTCTTCGACACTAGTGTGTAAGCTGCACGGATGGGGTGCAATGCGGACGAGGTGGCCGAGAGGTTAAGGATTGACTGCTAATTTATTGGGCTCGGCCCGCGTGGGTTCGAATCCCATCCTCGTCGAGTCGCGTAACTTTTTTTTGTTCTCCCAGTAATCAGTCTTCGACACTAGTGTGTAAGCTGCACGGGTGGCCTGCAAGGCGGACGAGGTGGCCGAGAGGTTAAGGCGATGGACTGCTAATCCATTGGCTCCTGCCAGCGTGGGTTCGAATCCCAACCTCGTGGAGTCAGGTAACTTTTTTTTGTTCTCCCAGTGATCGGTCTTCGACACTAGTGTGTAAGCTGCACGGATGGGGCTGCAATGCGGACGAGGTGGCCGAGATTAAGGATTGCTGCTAATTTATTGGCTCCGCCTGCGGGGTTTGAATCCCATCCTCGTCGTTCGCGTACCTTGTTTTTTTGTTCTCCCATAATTCAGTCTTCGACACTAATGTGTAAGCTGCGCGGTGGCCTGCCAAGGCGGACATTTGGCCGAGAGGTTAAGGCGATGGACTTCGTGATCCATTGGGCTCTGCCGCGTGGGTTCGAATCCCATAGCCTCGTCGAGCAGGAACTTTGTTTTCTTCTCTTCCAATTATCGTCTTCGACTGTGTGTAGCGGGCACGTATGGGTTGCAATGCGGACGAGGTGCCGAGAGGTTAAGATTGACTGCTACTTTATGGTCTCCGGCTGCGTGGGTTGATCCCATCCTCGTCCCGAGTCGCGTACTTTTTTTTTTGTTCTCTCCCAGTAATCAGGTCATTCGTCACTAGTGTGTAAGCTGCACGAATGG